TAAAAGTAGGCTACACAATGAGCTTCCCTAGCCGCCCCCAAGGCCAATGTTGACAGCTCAGCTGCACACTTTCTTCCCCATCCTCAACTTCTGTGAGTTACTAAAACCTTACAGGACATTCCTGATTCTAATCTCAAGATTTGTGAGACCCACGGCGGGGCGGGGGGCGGGTCATATTCAGTCTCTATGCTTTAAAAAGCTGTTACTCAGAGGAAGAAATGAGAAATGGGATGATTGATAGGTTCAAAGTTTATCACCTGTTCATAAGTGGTAGCGATCCCTGTAATATCCCAACTAGCTCTTTGGTAAATGGAAATGAATGGCTTCAAATGTGAATTTCTACCCACCACCGAAAATGTCTTATAATGAAAAAACACATGTTTCTTCTGGAAATAGGGCAGAAGAAGAAGAAAACACCTGTGATTCTACCATTTCAGAGTTGACTATTGTTAGTGGTTAGGTGGTCCTCCTGTTGTTTACCTGTGCACACATATATAGACATATCTACATATCTTTTGCTATAAAAGTATACTGAATATACTTCCTTGGTAAACTGATTTGTTCCATTTATGAAAACATCTAAACAAGCTTTTGGATGGATTTTCCACAATTATCCTGATGTTTAACGATTAGCATTTATTTTTCCAATTTTCCTCTCTTCTCTTAGCTATTTTAGTAAATGTTGTTATGGCTAAAGGTTAAAAAAAAAATAGACTAGCTGGGTCCAAAGCTGGGTGATACTTTAAGACTATTGATTATTTTTGCCAAATTATGCTATCAAACTGCACACATTTATACTAATACTTACTGGTACTGGTATTCTTCTTCCCCTAACTGACCTTTGCTAATTTGGCAGTCTCCAAATATTATCCCATTTTATGGATTTGACCACAGTGAGACTGAACATTTGTTCCAATGTTTTTAACTGTTAATATTTTTCTCTTGAAAAATTGCTCATTTGTGCCCTTCTGCACAGTTTTCTATCAGGGTGTTTCTTTCTCATTGACTCAAAGTATTTATAAATATGAAGTGTATTAGCCATGTAATATATAATGTGAACAGCTTTCCCCTCTGTTTTTACTGTTTATGGTGGGGTTTCAGAAAACCATTTTATACCTTTGTGTTTTCTGCTTTTCTTGTTTAATTTACCTATCACTGATATGGCATTATAGTTCATTTGCTTTAAAGAATTATTAAAAAGAAGGTTGTATCCCCCAAACCCTCTCCAAAGCATACTATGAGCATCCAGGGAAACGTGTGTAAATGCAGCATCATCAGTGTCTCTAGCCCCACCTACAGAAAGCTGTAAAGAGCACAATTTTACTAGATCATTATGGGCCCTTATGAATTTTGGCAGATGTTTAACTTTTAGGCAAGTATATCCAAAGCCAACTCACAATCTACTGTGAAGTTGGCGACAAAGGGGCAAGATGTGTTTTTTTTTTTTTTTAAGTCCTGCTAAAAGAACTATGTCTCTTCTACCACTAAATTATGACATCTTATTTCACAGAGTTAATAGCATCTAATGATTCTGTCTCCAGGTAATGTAATCCAGCTGGAAATGCAAAGGTATGCGAAGCCCATGTTTTAAAACAAAAGAGTATTTTTCTCTAGCCAGTAAATAAAAGTGATTTTTCAGCTATAAAAGGACATTATCCCATCGGGCAGGGTTTCCTAGACTTGTTTTTTTTGGCATTTAGCCATGGAGCCAGCCCAGCATCTTCCAAACTTCTTCCATTTTTGTAGCAGTGTGAAGAGTTCCCTGGATAAGATGAGCGTCACCCCCTGGTGTGATGATTAATGCCTGGGGTCCATTCAACCTAGAGGCACCGGCAACCAGATGTCTAAAAGTGTCATCAGCAGATCATTGATCAGCATAGAGGAAGACCAAAAACTGATTGTTTTTCCTTTTAAATATCTTCACTGCTCTCTCAAGGATGTATGTTTCCTTTTTGAGGAAAAGCATGTAACATTTAACACCATAAATGTAACAAGAGCAAATGGCTCATAGCTTCACTGAGAAGTTGTCAAAAATGTTTAACTTAACTAAAGTATTATTCATCCCATTTCCAAGGTTTAAATAGCTTTGTGACATCGGGTCTCCCTTTTTGATTTTCTATGTATGTTTCATAGTCCTGAAACTGAAGAGTGTTCTTGTCCATTCTCATTGCTCTATTGCAAGAAGCGATGGTCCAGCCCCTGGTCCCAGTCCCCATTCTTACGATATGGTTATTGCTAGTGTCAGAGGATAACATTATATGAATAACTGAGAACAATCTGCCTTAAAGTGTGTCTGAAGGAATTAGCACCACGTTGGTGCATTGTGTGAATTGCCAATGATAAGATGAACAGCAGCAACAATCACTTGTGACATCCCAGTCAGTGCTCTAAATACCTAGGCATGTGTAATCACTTCACCCTGACAGTAACTCTGTGGGGTGGGAATCATCATTGTCCCTATGCTGTAGATGAGAACAGCCAGTCACACAAAGAGCCAGCACTTGAACCTGAGCAAACTGACTCAAGAGCCTGTCCTCTGGACTTGATTAAATTGGTAGGACAACTCCACAAGATTGGTGACGGTATCCTCATTTTACAGATGAGAAGTCGAGGCCCAGAAAAGTTAATAACTTTGCAACAACTTCTCACACACATGGGAATTAGCAAGAGTTTGGTTTCAGACCCTCATTCCAAAGCCTTCCCATGCTTTTCCCATTACACCATGTTCCTTACGCTGCTACATGTGCCTTGTATTCAGGTCTGTATTCATTTCGGAGAGAGCTCAGAGTTGGCCAATAGACAGGTGCTTAAGTGGGCCTCTTGCACTTCCTTCTGGTTCTTTTTTGCTCAGAAACCTACCTGTTCAGCTGGCATTCGTCATTCATGTGAATGCCATGATATGAACTGCTTCTCCTTCTATGGAGTAGCTGTAGGATTAGGCTTCCCAGTTTCCCAGGTTATTCCTGCATCGGGGACTTTGTAGTTGCTGTCCCTTGGCTTGGAAAGCTTTGTCCCCACATCTCAGCGTGGCCGACTCCTTCTCATGTATCAGCTCAGGTGTCATCATCTGAAGACCTGTATTCATTTCCTGAGGCTGCCATAACAAATTACCATAAACTAAGTGGCTTAAAACAACAGAAATTTATTCTCTCATAGTCCTGGAGGCCAGAAGTCCAAAATCAAGGTGTTGGCAGGGTCATCCTTCCTCTGAAGGCTCTAGGGGAGAACATTTCCTTGCGTCTTTCAACTTCAGGTGGCTCCGTATGTTCCCTCGCTGGTGGCAGCATAATTCCGATCTCTGTCTCTGTCTTTTTTTTTTTTTATAAATTTTTTTATTATGTTATGTTGGTCACCATACAGCACATCATTAGTTTTTGATGTAGTGTTCCATGATTCATTGTTTGTGTATATCACCCAGTGTTCCATGCCATATGTGCCCTCCTTAATACCCATCACCGGGCTCACCCATCCCCCCACCCCCCTCCCCCCTAAAACCCTCAGTTTGATTCCCAGAGTCATAGTCTCTCATGGTTCGTCTCTGCCTCTGATTCCCCCCACCTTCATTTTTCCTTCCTTCTCCTAATGTCCTCATGCTATTCCTTATGTTCCACAAATAAGTGAAACCATATGATAATTGTCTTTCTCTGTTTGACTTATTTCACTTAGCATAATCCCCTCCAGTTCCATCCATGTCGATGCACATGGTGAGTATTATCCTTTCTGAAGGCTGAGTAATATTCCATTGTATATATGGACCACATCTTCTTCAGCCATTCGTCTGTTGAAGGGCATCTTGGCTCTTTCCACAGTTTGGCTATTGCGGACATTGCTGCTATGAACATTGGGGTGCATGTGGCCCTTCTTTTCCCTACATCTCTTATCTTCGGGGTAAATACCCAGTAGTGCAATTGCTGGGTCATAGGGTAGCTCTATTTTTAACTTTTTGAGGCACCTCCACACTGTTTTCCAAAGTGGCTATAACCAACTTGCATTCCCACCAACAGTGTAAGAGGGTTCCCCTTTCTCCACAACCTCTCCAACATTTGTTGTTTCTTGCCTTGTCAATTTTTGCCATTCTAACTGGTGTAAGGTGGTATCTCAGTGTGGTTTTGATTTGAATTCCCCTGATGGCTAATGATGTTGAACATTTTTTCATGTGTCTATTAGCCATTTGTATGTCTTCTTTGGAGAAGTGTCTGTTCATGCCTTCTGCCCATTTTTTGACTTGATTATTTGTTTTTTGGGTGTTGAGTTTGAGAAGTTCTTTACATAACCTGCTCCTTTGTATTTCTCCTCTCTGTGTCTTCTCCTCTCCTTCGGAAAACACTTGTCATTGGATTTAAGGTCCACCTAGATAACCCAGGATAATCTCATCTCAAGGTCCTTAATTCTATCTGCAAGACTGTTTCCCCACATAGGGTCACATTCACAGGATCTGGGTGAGCATATCTTTTGGGAAAGCCACCACTAACCCTCCTGTAGATAAACTACACTACACTCTAGGTAATAGAGTTTTTGCTGCTGTCATACTCCGTGACTTTTTTGCATAGCCCTTGTCCTTATTTAATGCTTCTTGTTCTCTCATCTACTTTTCCGTTGCCTGTCTCTACCTACTTGAATTCAAGCTTTATGAATAAAGAGCTGTCTTGTTCCCTGCTGTATCCCTAGCACCTAGACCAGTGCTTGGTCTATTGTAAGGATCACCAAATTAATGAATGAGTGAATGATGGTGTTGGGCAAATGTGATGTCAACTTGGCTCTTTGGTACTTTCCAGAACTTCCAGGATTGTATTTTATTTTTTGATGTTATTTTATGTTATTTGAATTTCAGTTGGATTTTTTTTGGAAATGCAAGTTTATGATGGGACATGTATTTAATCACGATGGATAAATATATCCAACCATTTCAACATTCAATTGCTAACTGGTCTTCATAGTTCATTTAGCTTTTATTTTCCCCCAGGAACAATTCCTCAGCAGCATACTTCTTTCTTCTTTAGGCTCCGATCACCTCCGGGAAAAAGATGGCCTGTGGGCTGTCTTGGTCTGGCTTTCCATATTGGCTGCCCGGAAGCAGAGTGTGGAGGAAATCGTCCGAGATCACTGGGCCAAATTTGGCCGCCACTATTATTGCAGGTGAGAAGGGTAGGGACCCTGGGGAACTGCTCTTAAAGAAAAGTGGTGGGCTAGAACCTTAAGAAGGAGGCAGCTTTCAGGACGGTCTGGGGAACACAGGGGCTGGAGCCCCTCATAGGTGTTTGGGGGTCCTGTCAAGGACATCCAAACTGGAAGGCATAAATTTCCCCTCCCCTAGTGACATTCCTCTGTGATCTTTTCATCCATGCCTATAAGGTGGGCAGCCATTCCAAGGGGGACTCTGAACTGCGGAACCTTGAAAGTCCTTTGGTGCCCATGACAGTTTTATCGTCCAATCGGGGGCTCTCCTTGTTCTCCACCCATAATTACCAAGGGAGGGAGGCAGAGGCAAAGCTGTAACAGGTCGGACTGCTTTTGTAATCCTCTCCTTCCCTCTGTCTTACTTGCCCGCTAACGGTCCAACAATGTCTAAGGTACCCTCTGAAGGGGCCATAGGGTTCAGGAGCCCCACCTTTTGCTAAAGGGTTGTCCCTGTGAAAGGAGATACAGAAGAGGGAACTGTTACCCTGGGAGGGAGGAAGGGCAAAGGTCTGGCTAAGAGCTCAGGGTTGGGGGGGTCTATATCACTTTCCTGTTTTTGAAATAAGTGAGGGGGCAGAGTCTTCTGGCTGCCTGGTTGCCTGCTAGATATGTGTACCTAGATATGATAGGTTTGTGTTCCTGGTACCAAGCCATGGTCTTGGAGGAGCAGTGATAGGCAAGGATGTTAACTGTGGAGAATCTGGGGATGGGGCAAGGGAATCCTTGGGTATCCTCAGAGACTCTCTCTGTTTGGAAAACAGAAATTGTGGCTCCTTTGCTTTGTTTATGAATAGTTAACTACTTTCAGTGTTTAGTTATGTTTTAAGAGTTTAAGGAACAGAAAGAAAGCCTTAGACTTCCCTTATAAGGTGATCGTTTCTTCTCTTAAGAAGTCATTTACTTAGATAAATATCAGAGAATAAGAAAGCCCGTGATAGGATTCATTACTGTCAAAAAGATTGCAGTGCTCTGGGAAATGATGACAGTGCCCTAATAGTCTTTTCTCCAGTTTAGTCAAGAAGGCAGAGGTTGTTAATTGCCTGAAAACCACCTCAAGTGATTCCTTGTGTTTTTTTTTTTCTTTTTAAAAGATTTTATTTATTTATTTGACAGACAGAGAGAGACAGCGAGAGAGGGAACATGAGCAGGGGGAGTGGGAGAGGGAGAAGCAAGCTCCCCACGGAGCAGGGAGCCAGATGCAGGGCTCAATCCTAGGACCCTGGGATCATGACCTGAGCTGAAGGCAGATGCTTAACAGACTGAGCCACCCAGGCGCCCCTCCTTACTAGTATTTCTAACTAGTGCCAAAATATCCTGATTCTTGTGGGCCTTTTTGGCATACCAGGGAAGTAACTGGCACCACAAAACTTTCTGTTCACGAAGCTGTTCCAAAAAAGTCCAACCTGATAAAATATGATTGCCAACCTCTGGCTTAGTGAGATCACTTTGAGTTAGGGATGTGTTCCTCATAATTTGTGCAGTGATTATCTAGCTTTCTGCCAGTGTTTTGAAGACGTGGTGTTATGATAAGTGTATTTATAATATAGTTCATTTTTTGTGTGTGGCCAAGAGCTTACATGATAATTACTTTTTTCATAACAAATACCATATTAGAGAATATAATGCAATGGAGATGTAAATTCTTTAGAACACTGACTTACGTTTCAGATTTCTGTCCAAAGAGATCCCAGAGATAAAGAAAAAGGGAGGAGGGTATAAGTACAATGAAGGGTAAACACTTTTTTTTTTTTTTTCAGCCTCCAGCAGATATAGGTTGAGAGATCCTTGTGGAATAAAATGACTTCTAGCCTGTTCTTTTTGGTGGGGAGGAGATAATCACACAGTTTTTTTTTTTTAATTATTTCTGAGCCTGAAGTTGTGTCTGGGAACCCAGATGATTTTCCTTGTGTGAGTGGACCCTAGAAGGTACTCTCCATTGCAAGATTTCCTCCCTTGAAAGTGTGTTGTGGTGGTCAGAGGGGGTAGTTTGTGGTAGCGAAGGGGGGGCCGTTGCAGAGTCTGCTTGTGTATGAAGATGAGCATTTGGGCAGGCTGGTCTGACCACCTCAGCCATAGACCGAATGTGAACTGTCCCCTTAGTGGATTTTCTCAACCTCTGAATCTCTTCCAGTGCGCCTCTGTACCCTAATAAACCCTCCATCCCATCCTCCTGCCCCTCCCTGCTTAGTTGGGTCTTGATCCTCCCCCAGAATACTATCTTTAAAGAGAATTTAGGCTCAGAACACATGCACTGCTGAGAATGTTCTGCGAGAGTTCCCAGTTGTTTTGTTTCTGAGGCTGGGGAGGGCACATCCGTGTAGGAGGGAGAGATTACAAGACCAAGATACAGGGACAGGGGGACCCACTGCTAGAAATGGCATCATTCCATGTTTTCCATTTTGGCTAATACCCTGATGTTTACTCAAAGTCTTAAAAGATCTTGGGTGAAGAAAAAGTAACAGTGATTCAAGTCTTCCTTCTTTCAGCTGGCTGGGAACTCACATCTTGTCCCTGTATCACACACAGCACAGTGTGAGACCCCACCAGAGCCATTTGGGCACAGCTGCCCCTCGAGGGCTTCCTTCTTAAACAGACCCCCCTGGGTGTGCCACTCAGTTTTGGTCAAGACTACCTGACACTGGGAAAGACTCTACAGTTTCCTTATGGTAGTGACTAAGAATAAACTCAATTAATAGTTTTAAGCAATGGTGTCTGGCATTGGGCCGACTACTTGATATGCATTATGGTATTTAAACCCTACAACAACAAATGAGGTAGGTGTTATTTTTAGTCTTTTTTTTTCCTAATCACCTCCCAGCCCCATTGTTACATTTGATGTTCTTGGCTAGGAGGACTTTTTTTTAATGGAACAATTGTGGTATTTCTTCCAAGTTTCCAAGAGAGTTTTATGGTTCATTGAGGTGCCTTCCCCCTTCTCTCTTCACCTCCCTTGATTCCTCTCTCTCTCTTCCTTCCTCCCTCTCTTCCCTTCCTCCCATCTTTCATCCCACTGCTTGGTAAACACTTACTAGAAGCAGCAGAGAACAAAACAGATAAGGTCTCTGCCCTCCTGGAGCTTGTGGTTCGTGTGGGCAAAAGCAGATAAGAAATAAGTAAACAAATACACCAAGTCAATACAGATTGGGATGACTACTACAAGAAAATATCAACAGTGATGTGAGAGAGGGAGAGATAGAGGGAAGTATCTTGAATGGATGGTCGGAGAAGGTCACTTTCTGGAGGTGACACTAAGTTGGAAAAGTGACGGAGGAGAATGTGTCAGGTATTCGAATGGTCGGGAGGTTGAGGGAACAGACGGCAATGGCAAAGGCCCAAAGGCAGGACAGGGCAAAGTGTCTCTGGGGACTGGAAAGGAAGCCCCTGTGGCTGGAGCATAGGGAACAAGGGCGAGAATGGGACAAAGTCAAGGGGGTGGGTGGGGTCGGATCCCACAGAGCCTTATGGCCTGTGGCCAGAGTCTTGTTCTCAACGTGATGGGCACTTGGGAGGGATTTAAAAGAAAGGACATGACTTGATGTGATTTTTACAACATCACTCGGGCTCCTGTATAGGGCCTGGGTTATATGGGCCAGGTAGAAGAGCGTGGGGACCAGTTGGGGTGCTTTTCTGTGCCGTTCTTCCAGGAAAACAAAACCAGTGATTAGGTGACCTTGAGACGTCCACCCCATTGCTGGCTCTCTGATTAGGTTTGTCCTCACCCTGTGTCCTGCCTTCCCTCACCAGGTTTGACTATGAGGGGCTAGAGCCCAAGACAACATATTACATCATGAGGGACCTGGAGGCCCTGGTCACGGACAAGTCCTTCATCGGCCAGCAGTTCGCCGTGGGAAACCACGTCTACAGTGTGGCAAAAACAGACTGCTTTGAATATGTGGACCCCGTGGATGGCACGGTGACCAAGAAACAGGTACTTGCTAGGAAATCACCAGAATGGGCAAAGCCAGGGGCCAAAGTGTCCGACGGCTGGAGAGTTCTGTAGGGCGGCTCTACTCTGAGCGCTTCATTAGACATACAAGAGCCTGCAGCCAGGAGAGAAGAAAGCCCTTGGTGAAGGTTACTTACCTAGTTAATTCATGGCGGAGGGTGCATTTGAACACAGCGCCCTGTCTGTCCAGTATTCTTTCTACTTGTAACTGACAGGCTAATACGGCACATAGATAGACACCCAATATTTCCTTCTGAAATGTCTGCAGCCTGAGGGCTCATTGCAGATTCAGAAAAGGTTTCCAGGGCAAGATATTGCTTTTCCTTGGCACCCCTGTCAAGTGCAGGTGTGTTTCCCCTTTTATGACCATATGTCACTGAGAATGATAGGAGCGTACCCAGATGGGTTTGTAGGGGAAGAAACAGTGGGAAAACTTGTCCCACAAAACCCAAAAGGAAGATTTATGGTGGAGAATGATTACAAAATGTCAGTGACAAAATCAACAACTTCTGTCATGGTCTCGTCTTGCGAATTGTGTAAGAAAAGTTGAAAGCTATTACAAATATTTTTTCTTCTCAATTTTGTGTGTTTATTGGCTGTGGCAAAAACTGACCACTCTAGGAGCACATTTCACCATTTACAGTTCAAATAAGACACTGAGTAATGTTAAGAAAAGTTCTATTCTAAAATCCCCAGATTCGTATCCTCTGGTACACTCTTCAAGAACAGACAACAAAATACATCAGAAGCTGTAGGATTCCGGGGACTAGATGTAATGGTAGTTACTGATCTTTTTATTTTGACTAATATTTCACACATAGTCTTTCTTTGGGGTCCCCGACTTGTAGATGTTCTAAAGCCTGGAGCCCTCCTATTACTTTCTTGGTATTCTCCCTCTGGTCTGCTGAGTTTCATGGTGGTCTTTCATCTCAGTCAGAATGTCATTAGTCTTTCATTCTAGAAGGCCTTCTGTGGCTGGACAAATTGATGACAGCTTTACTTCAGGAAGGTGTAGGGTAGTGGAGATAAGAGTGGTTAAGAAGTGTGAAGAGCCAGGGGGCGCCTGGGTGGCTCAGTTGGTTAAGCATCTGCCTTTGGCTCAGGTCATGATCCCAGGGTCCTGGGATTGAGCCCCGCATCGGGCTCCTTGCTCAGCAGGTGGTCTGCTTCTCCCTCTGCCTGCCGTTCCCCCGGCTTGTGCTCTCTCTCTCTCAAATAATAAATAAATAATGTTTTTTAAAAAGTTAGAAAAAAAAGAAGTTTGAAGATTCAGAAGCACATCCTCTCCCTGCCCCACTTACCATATATTTGACTTCAGGAAAGATGCCTTATTTCCTTGAGCCACAGTTCCTTCCTCATTTGTAGCATGTCTATCTCACAGAGCTGTTTTAGAAAGGCAATGAAATAAAAGACACAAAAGCTCCCAGCGATCCTTTACACAGGGAGTACACACTACGTTTTTTGTAGTTGTATTTTGTTTCCCACGAAGATGCTTTTTTGTAGATGAGATTGAATCCTTTCCAAAATAACACTAGTGAATTTCGGAGATGTGAAGTCAGGAGCTCAGCACGTGTCATCTCAGAGCCTCTATGCCTCAGATGAATCTTTTTCAACTCTGTACCATATTCCTACTTCCATTTTGTAAAGGAACATCAGAACAAACATTTCGTAAATCCAAGGCTCATAAAATCTGTGCTTTCTAAATTATTCTTGGGAGGTTTTTTTCCCTGGTGAGGAAGGCTTGAAAACCATTCCTTGAAAAGATTATCTAGTCAGTGCTGGGTTCTGGACTCTATCTGCTCCTGAGAAGTTTGTCTGTTGAGCTAATTTGTTTTGTTGTTAAATCCACTAATACTCTACCTTGTTTCTTCCCCAATGCACTCACCATTCATATCCTTTTTTCTTGGCTCTTTTAACAGTTCACATCAGGCTAATAACTCCACAGCTAGATCTCAAGATGTCTGCATCTATTTATTCCATGCCCCCCCCCCGCAACCCTCAATATTGGTTTCCATTTTTACTCTGGAACTTACTATTTTTTCTTTCCATACTCTTCCATATTAGCTCAAATGTGGCCATAAATAGTAAATTCTATCAGGAGCTGCTCTGGGGAGTTTCTTTAGCAACAAAGGAAGATTGTTGTTCATTTTCCCAGATTCTAAGACCCAAGTGACAGTTTATTAGCTGGTGGTCCTGAGTCACCCTGGAGCTTCCCCGCTGCTCTGGGTTTGGCTCACTGAGGGTTTGGGGAGGCAGTTAACATTCAGCGGCATCCTCATCGTCAGTGAGTCATGTATGGTTCTTGCAGTTGGTCCTGTTGGCACAGAGGGAGAGTTCCTGCATTGTGGGGCTGTTGGTAAACTTCCACCACCGAAGCCCACATCTCAGCGCCCCCTGAGAAGTCAGAAGTCATCAGTACTTGGTTCCAGGGATGGTTGAGTCTGGGCACACTTCATGTGACATTGTTGCAAAGCAAGCACCATCTATCTACTCCTAAAAGACATATTTGAATTTAAATGAACATGTATTATTTTTAAATAGCCATAAAGCACTTTGGCGCATTCATTCAATAGATATTTCAGGAGAGCCTACTAAATGCACAGTAATTGGTTTTTGTCATGGGGCATTGTGGGATTTTTTTGTTTGTTTGTTTTAGAGAGGGAGAAGGGGGCCCGAGGGGCAGAGGGGGAGAGAGAATCTTAAGCCCAGCATGGAGCCCAACGTGGGGCTCAACCTCTTGACCCTGAAATCATGACCTGAGCTGAAATCATGAGTTGGACATCTAACCGACTGAGCCACCCAGGCGCCCCTGGAGCAGTTTTTTTTTAAATATAAATGTGTAACAGCTTTATTGAGATATCATTCTCACACCATCCAGTTTACCCATGTCAGGTGTACAATTCAGTGGTTTGTAGTATATTTAGACAGTTGTACCATCATTACCACAATCAGTTGAAGAACATTTTTGTCACCCCCAAAAGCAACTTGTACTTGTGAGCTATAATCTCCATTTCCAACCCTGGCAATCCCTGACCTACCTTCTGTCTCTCTGGATTTGCCTATTCTGGATATTTCACATAAATGGAACCACACACTATGTTGTCTTTTGTGACTGGCTTCTTTCACTAAGCAGAGTGTTTCTAGGGTTCACATATCAGTATTCATTCTTTCTTATTGGCAAATAATGTCCCATTTTGTGGACAGACCACACTTTGTTTGCCCATTCTTCAGCTGATGGACACTTTTTTTTTAAGATGTATTTATTTATCTTAGAGAAAGAGAGAGTCCACGAGTGGGGGTAGGGACAGAGGGAGAGGGAGAGAAGCAGGCTCCCCACTGAGCATGGAACCCTACACGGCACTCCATTCCAGGACCCTGAGATCATGACCTGAGCCGAAACCAAGGGTTGGCCGCTTAACCGACTGAGCCACCCAGGTGCCCCGAGCTGTTTCCACTCTTTGACTATTATGAATGGTGCTGCTGTGACTATTCACATAAAGCTTTTGTGCAAACATAGAGTTTCTGTTATTGTGGCTGTGTAGCTAGGAGTGGAATTGCTAGGTCAAATGGTGACTCTAGGTCTAACCTTCCAAGAAACAGTCGTATGGTCTTCAAAAGCAATTGTACTGCTTTCCATCCCCCCCAGCAGTATATGAGGGTTCCAGTTTCTGCATGCTTTTGCCAACCTTTGTTATTATCTGTCTTTTTGGTTAGAGAATACTGCAATTTAAAATAATATACTAAATTATGTATTATTTTAAAATTAAGTTGGAAGAGACTTGACCTATAAGGACAAACAAAGTATGCCTTGCCTAGCAAAACCCAACGGAAACATTATAATGCAGCATCTCTGTTTGCTGTGGGAAGCAGATTGCTATGGCTTCTCCAGTGTTGTGTTACGTCGGAGTCAAGCAGACATAGATTTGAAGGCTGGCTTTGTCACTGCCTTGATTGGTGACTTTGGGCATATTACTTAATTCCTCTTTTCTCAACTTGTTGGGGCGGGCAGAGGGCATTTTGGTAATAATTATCATATAGGGTTATAGAGAAGGTGTGAGGAGAAAGTCCTGTAAAGCCCCAGGCACAGTGGCTGGTATCCATTTGATGTTCAAGAAATATCAGTTGCTTCCGCCTTGCCAGAATCCTCAACTCGACTGCGTATCAGTTTGAGGAAAGGGTGTGAGTGGCGTTCAGGTGTACAGCCTTGAGATCAGCAAGTCTTGGGTTTGAATCAGCTCTGCCATCTCCTTGCTGGGTGATCTTAGGAAGTTACTCAACCTCCCTGTGCCTTTCCTTATCTGTGAAAATAGGAATAATCATTGTGGCTACTGCATACAGCCCTTGGGAGAATCTGATAATACATATGAAGTCCTGATACATAATAACCACTAATAAATGGTTAACTAAAAGAAGTTATGTTAAAAGAGCATCGTTGGGAAAGAAGGATTTTGATTTTTAATGAGCCACATATGATGAGAAAAGCAGGGAAAACAACACTGAACAGAATACAACTTTGCAGGGTGTCATGTGAAGACATGGGAAGGCCTCCTCAGTTTCTGAGTCATCTATGAATTGATTCAAAGTCACATTTCTCTGCCTTCCCTAAGTCTGCTCCTCCCTCATCTCCTCCATCCCACTTGGTCCAGAAAGTGGGCAGCTCAGTCTCCTTTTTGTCCTTGATTTGGGGTTAGAGTCAGGAAAGGGACTGTGGGAAAAAAAGTAGTTTCACATATATCTCTAGAAATAAAGAAATGCTCCTCCATCCAAAATGAAATTAAAATCCTGTTCTAGTGATAAGTCCTGCCCCCTATCTACTTCAGTGCTGTGGAAATGTTCAGCAAAGTCTATTCTGCCTGTGAGACCCTGTGGGGGTCATTTAAGGAGCAAGAAGGAAACCCCTGAAGGATTAAACCCCTGACTTGAATTCCCAGGGACCCCACTGGCTTCCCGTGGCCTATCCAGGTCTCATGGAATTTACTATG